GATATCTTCAGGATTCTTTCTATTTTCGAGAAGGAGAGCGTTAGATCGGCGAGAAGGCTTTTGAGCTGCGCGGAGAGGCTCTCGAAGCGCTCGAGGGACTCGACGCGGGAGGGGCTTTGGCTGGGGGGGGGGGGCTTGATTGGAGGAGGAGGAGGGGGCGAGGAGGGCTTCGGTTGGGGGGTAGGGCTTGGTTAGAGGAGGAATGGAGGGCGAGGAGGGCTTTGGCGGGGAGAGGAGGAAGGGGGAAGGGTGACAACTGCCTGGAGAAGCGCCGAGTCTCCGGTAGGACTAGGAGTGGTTGATGGCGGCTGGGAAGGAGGAGGAGGAGGAGAGGCAGTCCTCGAGGGATCCGGACGCCCGTCTCCCGTCGCTCGTGAGGCTCCGACGCCGCCGCCCGCTACAGGAACAACGGAAGATAAATAAGGGAGAGGTGAAGAAGGAGAAGGGAAAGAAGAGAAAAGGAAGGAGAAGGAGAAATGGGAGACAAAGAGGGGATGTGAGTGACCTTGTGAGTGGCCAGGGTCAAGGAGCTCTCGTGACCGACAGTGTGAAAGGCCATTACTCCAGGAAGGCAAGAGAGAAGGAAAGAGTGACCGAGTTTTTTTCTGAGGCGTGTCTCCGGGAAGAAGTATTATGACCGCTCTGCTCGGGGTCCTGGGGTCCGCACGACGCCATGGGGTCACGCTGCTCCTGGCACGCCAAGGCCGATGACAAGTGGGTATTCAGACGAAAAAAAAAAGAGTCAAATCAGATGTGTTTTCCCTCTTGTATTTCTGTAATTCTAGTGAGTGACAGATAGGAGTTAAGCAACAGAAAGAGCAGGGCGGAGTGGGGCCGCAGGGGGGTGGAGAAGCCAGCAAAAAGCCAAACTGTCGGCTCTTGCAGGCGTCTCGTCAGCGGTGAAATCATATCGAAACGCGCGAGTCATCACAAGCCAAGAAGGGACGCGCCAAAGCAAGCAAGAAAGCAAGCAAGATAGCTGCACTTCCAACGGGGGGACTCTCTCAACCCACATCCACACCCACGGACCGTCGGACACAAGCAAGCAAGCAAGCACGGACGCACGCACGCACAGATCGATCGATGGCGAGACTTGCAAACTCATGCTGATGGTGTCGATTCCGTCCAGTTTGTCGTGTTTACGTTTTGATTCCTGGAACGAGAAGGATTTTTATTTCGCTTCTCTTTAGGACTCTGGTGGATACCGAAGAGAGATTCGTATACGAGAGAGAGAGAGAGAGAGAGAGAGAGAGAGAGAGAGAGAGAGAGAGAGAGAGAGAGAGAGAGAGAGAGAGAGAGAGAGAGAGAGAGAGAGAGAGAGAGAGAGAAGCCGTACGACCACCGTTTGTTTCGTCGAAGAAGTGGCACTAACGCCTCTTTTTTTTCCTCGTGCTTTTCTTCCTGTTGCGCATTTGCAATACGAAGAAGGAGGGGATTACGAGTGCGTGCGTGTGTGCGCGCGTGTTTATGTGCTTGACCTCAACTCTTCGCGTTCCAGGAGTTGTGTGGACATCATTTTTTTTTTTTTTTTTTTTTAATATCGTCAAAACTTGCTTGATTTAGGGTCAGCAAGGTCGCCGTTGCACGCGGAAAGGTCGTCCCTCCACCCCAAGGACGCGAGCGAGGGTCTTCGCGTGTGAAATTTTGTCGGAGCCGATCGCGAGGATGTCCGTTGGGGAATTTGACTTTTTGAAGTCTTTTCTCCTGCCTCCGGGTGTCGACGACCAGAGAGCGAGATGTAGGTCGCGGGGGAGAGAGGTGGAGTAGGAGCAGGTGGAGGGAGAGAAGGAGAAGAAGTAGAAGAAGAAGAAAGGATGAGGAGAAGAAAAGGGAAAGGGGGAGAAGGAGGAGGTGGAGGCGGAGATGGAAGTGGGAGTAGAAGTAGAAGAGGGACGGAGGGGGAGGAGGAGGTGGCAGTGGAGGTGGAGATATATAGGATGGTAGTGAAGGTGTCGGTGGTGGAAGTGTGGAGGGTGGTGGAGGAGGGGGATGAAGAGGAAGTGGTGAAAGAGGAGGAGGAGAAATCGAAGAGGGACGGTCGCGGTAAATGTCACGTGAGGTGGTGCGAACGTGACTCCCCCGTTTTCTCCCACTTCCCCGGGGAAGCGGAAGGGGGAACTAAACTGTTCCAGCGTCCCCCTCGCCCCGGCCCCTGCTGACGAGCAGGCGAGGGACAGCGGGCGCTCGTGGTTCCAGCGTGGCACCAAACCTGTTCCGACTAATTTCCCATCTAAGCAGGTCTGCTGGCGATCCGAGCGGGATCCGGTCCCTCGCACCCCTTTTTGCCGCTCGCGAGGGTGTGGGGGAGAAGGACGTCTCTACCTCCCTACATTTCTCCCTGACGTCTACCCGCCCGCATTCTACGCATACGCACGTACGCCACTCGGGTCCAGGGGTGCGCGGGTGGGGTGGGGGGGTCTAAGCTTGTAATTTGAAGGTCCGTGCGTCATCTGTGACGGGTGACACGGGAGGAATTGCTTTTAGCGACGCAAGCACTGGCTTGAAGATGGATACACCAAGGGAAATAAAACACTCGGTCGTATTACAAGGAAATGTTCGTATGAAAGCAATCTCATGATATCAAATGTCCTTCATACTGCTTGTGTAACCAAGAGGATTATCTGCGAGAAAAATGTTGCATTACGAAAAAAGTAGGAAACAGTATATGAAAAAGCAACTTAGTCTTTTGGAAATGTTGCGCCTGTGAGTGTGAGAAGTGCTCCTCGGAGGAAGGACTTGCTCAGCCGCCGTGCCCGAGGCCGAGGCCGCACGGGCCGCGGGAAGCACAGGGTGTGTAAGTCTGTAGCAAGTGCTGCTGTGTTAGGAAGCTTTTCATGTTGTATGTACAGACTACAATCATAGTCATGCTGACGTACACGCACATTCACTCACCCGCACTCACACTCACACACTCACATCAGCGAATGCCAGCTCGGCTAAGCCTTGTGGCTGGTTGTCCTGCAGGTTACCTGAATTGGGTCGGGGCAGCGGCGGCGCCTCCAGCAGCGGTGGCAGCGGCGTCGCGTGCGGCGGGGCGTGGGCCGCGTCGCGCCGTCAAGCCGCTTGCGCTCGTGCCTTGGACCTGCCTCGCCCGTGACCTTTGACCCCGGCCCCCCGCCGCGCCGCCCCCGCCGACCCCCAGGCCGCCAGCGCAGCAGCCTCCGCGGGGCACGAAGACCGGCCGGACACCTCCGCCGACGACGCCCTCAGGAAGGAGCAGCCGCCCAAGGAGCCGCTGGCCGAGGAGGCCCCCGACGCCTTCCCCGGCAGCCTGCACCGCAAGCGCAAGGAACACGCCGACGGCAAGGAGGGCGGCGAGCACGACCCCAAGTTTATCAGGTATCTCACCAGCGAGATTGCGAGAGCGAGAGAGCAGGAGAGAGAGGAGAGAGAGAGAGAGAGAGAGAGAGAGAGAGAGAGAGAGAGAGAGAGAGAGAGAGAGAGAGAGAGAGGCGCAGAGCAAAAAAGAGAGAAAGGCGTAAAAGGCTAATGCATCTCTGTGAATGAGTCGCCTCGAGCCTTCTTGCACGAAGGAGAAAAAGAGAGAAAGACCCTAGGGCATGATCGTTTACACGTTGTATTATTGATATAATTATTTTGTTATCGCTGTTGTTGTTCTATGTACTGGCTATGCTGTATATTTGATGACTGTCACCCGTACTGCACTCGAGTTGAGGAAAATTCATGTTCGAAGTCTTCGTGTATGTCCCTCTTAGCTTGCACAGACCCACTGCACTTGAGTGGTTGCAAGTCCTTCCTTGAGATGTAAATGCACTGCCTTTTGAATATTTCTTTTTCTCTTCTCTTTTTTTTTTTTTCTTCTTCACCACTTCCTTTCTGGAGAAATAAGTCATGCTCGACCTACCCCTGTAAGATTCATTGTTTACATGTATACATTTATATATATTATGAGTTATTTATCCGTCGGCCGTTGCTTGCAGATTGTGTATTTCCTGTTACGCCGTTCTTTTTTATGGTCGCTCAGACGGCGGTTGTGTATCGCAAGACGTATCGCTGCCTGTGCTTGTGTGTGTTCTCCGGAACACATTTTATGCCATTCGCTTTGATGTCTCTTTTTTGTGCAATATGGACCTTGTGTATATGTACTCACACGTACACACACACATACGTATACGCACACCCACACCCATACCCATACACATGCTGCCCCCCACACACACACTCATGCAAACGCACGCACTTACACAGCTACACATTCACATGCACATAGTGCACACACACAGATATAACTGTATATGTATATAATGTAGATGTACGTATTTACATACGGGCATCAACTCTTATGAATAATTATTTGTTTTTTTTCGGCGTCGACCGAGATGGAGCACGCTGCTTGGTGTTTATCTTGAATTGTAGTTTTGATATTTTCGTGGATGGATCGTTGGTAGAAATATGTGTGACCTGCACATTCATATATGCAACAAACATTTGTATGTGTGTGTCTTCATATATATATAAACATGTATATGTTGTAGATCTGCAGTCGTGTATACGCATATACATGTAGGCCTATACATACGCTTTTATATTTATGCACGTATTCTTGTCCTGTACATTGATGACTTCACTGCATATAAACAAGTAAAGATCTCGCACACGTACCACGCGTACAAATGCTATTGCACTACGCCAAGGCACGCGCACGTACACTCATGTACACGTACAAAGTAGTTGTGTGCGCGTGACGAGTGTACGTGCTGTGTATGTAGAATGTACGTAATTTTTATTTTTATGCCTTTTTTTTAGAGGATTCTTATTCAGCGGGTGAAAAAAATCGTTGTAGATTGCAGTGTCATGGCAAAAGTTGCAATGACGCACACGATAATCTTGACAAAACCTCTGGGTCGAGTTTGCAATACAAAACCCAATTGTGTCTGTCTGTGTCATGTTTTTTTTCTTTTCTTTAGTTGGCATGGGTAAGCATTTTGTTATTCTAAGTCGACCCCAGACTAACCAAAATGTTCTTTGTTTGTTTGCAGGTCAACCAGGGAGGTTGTTGACCACCTTGACAGCATCCGCCCCAAGGTCGCACCATATTCCAAAGTGAGTAAAGGCTCTGCCTGTTTATCTTTCTATCGGTCTGTCTATCTATGTATCACTCTGCCTGCCCGTCTTTATGTCCATCAGAACTCCTATCTCTTTCTATCCGTCCTTATATCTGTATGTATTTCCTCTACCTCTTCCCGATATTTTTTTTTTCCTGGTCCCCTTTACGTTCTTTCTCTTCCCCAGTCTATCTGATCTTCTCTCCCTCCCCTCTTTCTCTCACTTTCTCCTTTATTTCCCCTTTTCTCTTTCTCTCTATCTTTTTTATCCGTCCCTTTGGAAGAGAATACCGGTAGTGCAGGGATAAACCTATTACCTTAAAAGCGTCATATAAAAAAGTAGGTAGGCCTAGATTGACGAAGAAAAGATGGAATAAGTTTTAATTGATATATAAATAGTTGAATAGGTAGAGAGATGGATGGAAAGTTAACGGAATGAGAAACCAAAGATGTATTAAATATAAACAGATAGGCCGATGGAGAAATGATGTTGTTTACATATATCTTCCCTAGCCTAAATGATAAGTGCAGAAGTGCCACTTATGCACCTCCCCTATTAGCTCCCCTTTTCCTCCCCCTGCCCCTCCCCCCCTCTGCCACTGCCCCTTCCCTTCTCTGCCCCTTCCACCTCCCCTCCTCTGTCACTTCCCTCTCCTCCCCCTCTGTCCCCCCCCTCAAGTGTGTGTGTGTGTGTGGCATCGTGGAGTGCCAAGGTGAAGCCTTGAAGTCTCTTGTCTGACGTCAGCTCCGAGATAGACGACTGACGTGGGCCTAGAAAGATATGTGTCAGCCCCCCCCCCCTTTTTTTTTGCTATAAATATTTATTTTTATATAACCTGTTCTTCTAGCGTACAAGTTTTTATCTATTGTTTTATTGTGTTGTTGGTCCTAGGCCTATTTTTTAAATATCGAATGGAAAGTTCATCCTGGCGATTAATATGATGATGATCCGTCGTAGTCATGGGTATCTTATCACCACATTGATTCACATGAACAGTAATGATAGAGCCAACATGCTTATCGATTAAGTTAGATTTTGTTTAGAACGAGTTGTTCAATCGGAGAGAACCTTCTCCGGAGAGACGAACGAGAGAGCGAGAGGAGAAGGAGTCGTGCCGCGAGAAAGCGAGAGACGAGAGACGAAAGACAGAGCCCGGGCCGAGCTCCGGAGTAGAAGGCGGGGGAGCGGACGAGAGGGCGAGAGAGAGGATTGCACGAGGTTACGGACGAGATGAAGACGAGGGGAAAGCACAGAGAGGGAGAGAGAGAGACAGCCACCTAGTCCTCCCTACATTGTGGCATCGGTCCATTAATAACTCGGAAGATCAACCATGGAAAGACGAGTGAAAAATAAAAAAAAAAAAAAAGAGAGAAAAAAAAAAAAAAAAAAAAAAAAAAAAAAAAAGAGAAAGAAAAAAGACCAGAAGAGAGAGAAACCGCCCGCCGGAGACGGCGAAACGGACGAGGAGGACTGAGACACAGAGAGCGAGGACCGAAGAAGACGAGCACGAAGCCGGAGACGAGACGAGAGGAAGAGAGGAGGCGGGGGGAGGCCGATCTAGACCGAGGAAAGAGAGGCGTCGCCGGAGGAAGGAGAGACGATAGAATGAGACCGAGGAGAGTACACCGGGGCGGAGAGGGAAGAAGAGCGCGGCAGGCGGCCGAGAGGAGGGACGGGGAGGGTGACGAACCGGGCCGACAGAAAGCGGGATGATCCTCGTAGGATTGACTCTGGAGCGAGTCCTGAGAGATGTCGCGAGAGGAAGGATCGGAGTGATAGAGGAGAGACTGAGAGAATGGGGCGGAGAGCGACGAATTATCTAAGCGAGAGATAACAACAGGAATACGTGACTCAAGAGGAGACAGGGAACACCCTGCCGACGAAGCACCGGACTCTGCTCGAGCTATATCGAGCGGCCTCTGTGTCCTCTCCCTGTCACGATGTGTAAATTTCTGGAGATGTGAGTCAGATATTGACTCGGAGAGTCAAGGCGATTTGGATGAGAGCCGAGGAGACGAGAACAGAGAGCCATCTTGAAGAGAGAACGAAGAGGTAGGAGAGATGAGAGAGAGTGACTGCCTGATGAAGATGAGCGATGAGACTATGAGAGAGAATGAGAGAGAGAGAGATGGGGAGAGGAGAGAGAGGAGAGAGGGGACTGGCGAGGGAGGGACACACACACACACACACAACACACACAACACACCACACACACACACACACACACACCACACACACACACACACACACACACACACAACACACACACAAAGAGAGAGGAGAGAGAGAGAGAGAGAGAGGACGAGAGAGAGAGAGAGAGAGAGAGAGAGAGAGAGAGACGAGAGAGAGAGGAGAGAGCGAGAGGAGAGCGTGCGGGCGGGCGGGCGGGCGAGCGGGCGAGCGGGCG